ATGGGGAAACATTTGTAAATAAAACTAGAGGACCAAAAAAACTCCCAACTAACCAAGAGGGGCCCAAGTTCAAGTCCCACCTGACCAGGAGATGTGTCCTAACGTCTGACAGGGTGATTATTTAAAAAAAAAACAACAAAACAAAATAGCTGCATATCATTGGTGGGAATGAGGACAGTGCATCTTCACATAGGCAGGGCCTTATTTCAATATTCATTGGTCAGCTGCTTACACGTTTGAGCTCAAACATAGGAACAGGAGAACTTGAGTCTGTTCCACCATTCAAAAAGGAAATCATGGCTGATTTGTGTTTTAACTCCTTTGGCCCATATCCCTAACATATTTGCTTAAAAATTTCTCTCAGATTTAAAATGAACTGATCCATCATCAACTGCCATTTGTGGAAGACAAAGTTCCAAACCTCTAACACCCTTTGTTTGTAGGAGTGCTTCTGAACATCTCCCTTGAATGGACTAACCCTAATTCTCAGATGATGACATTGGTCTAGAATCCCCAACTCGTGGAAATAGCTTCATTATTATTAAACAAGAAAGGACAGGGTAGATATCTTGAAGACTTCAATCAGATCACCCTTTAACCTTTTAAGTCTCAAATAGGCCCCAAATGAGACGAGGACAGCAGGTTTCCTTCCCTGAAGGAAAATTGTCAGTCAGTTCCATTCAACAGTTTATGGCCACTTTTACAAATATTTTAAAAGCAAAGCAGAGTTTAAATTCTAAAATTTCCCTCCGAGGTGGTTGGGGGAACAAAGAACAGAAACAGGTCCATCGGCCCTCCAAGCCTGCGCCTACACATTTTGCCCTTCCATACTAAAACTGTCTTTGCTTACAGGATCCATATCCCTCTATTCCCTTTCTATTCACGTATTTGTTCAGGTGCTTCTTGAACGCTGCTATTGTGTCTGCTTCCACCACCTCCAGCAATGGGCTCCAGTCACTCACCACCCTTTGTGGGACAAAGTTGCCTCTCATTCTTTTTAAACTCCTCCCCGCATCCCCCCCACCCCACCCCTCCCACACACTGAAACTGCCTCCCCTTGTAATTGACTCCTCCACCCCAGGAAAGATGGTTTGAGCTAACATTGCATGGATTGTTAGTCCCCATCTCTAGATTATTGTTTGAGCAAAAGGTCTTCCTTCCCAATTGAGACAGAACATTAAAATGAACACAGAGGTGATCGGGGACCAAGCATTACATTACCATGTCTTGCTCCATGTTCCAATATATCAGCCACAATCTCATTGTATCTATTCTGCCGCGCAAGGGGCTGAATGGTCACCTCTTGGGCCATCCCACTGACAATTTTACACTTGGCAGATGGTGAGGAATATGGAACTCTCCAGGTGGCCTCGTTATCATCCTCCCGTCTTCTCCTAAACCCCATGTTAGGGTTAGGTCAAAGCAGAGGGTGACTGATCCGCCCTCACCTGCAACCCAGACCCGAAACGTTAACTCCAAGTTCTCTTCACAGATGCTGCCAGGCCTGCTGAACTTTTCCAGCAATTTCCGTTTTTGACCGTGACTATTCCCTCTAGCCATACAGTTTTCCATAAGGGGAAACATCCTCTGAGCATTTACCCTGTCAATCCCCTTTAAAACATCCTAGATTATCTTTCATTCTTCTAAACTCCAGTGAGTAGAATCCCAACCTGTTTAGATTTTGCACATTAGCCTGTCCCTCCATACCCAGGATCATCCTAACAAACATTTTCTGAACCGTCTCCAAATGAATTGCTATCTTTTCGTAAATAAGGGGAACAAAATGCTCACAGTACTCCAGATGTGGTCTCACCAGCACTTTGTACAGTTGCAGTCAGACTTCCCTACTCTTATACCCCAACCCCTTTGGAGTAACGGCAACATTCCATTACCCTTCCCAATTACCTGCTGCCCCCGTTCACTAGTTTTCAGTGTTTCATGCACAAGTACCCCTAAGTCCTTCTGTGACGCACCTCATCTCTTTAAATATTATTTCTGTTCTTTTGTTCTCCCTTCCAAAAATCTACAAACCTCACCATTTCCCAACTTTTTGCCCACTCACTTAACTTGTCAATAATTCTCTAAACTCTTTGTATCCCTCTCGCAACCAGCCTACAAATTTGGCAACATTACATTCTTTTCCTTACTCCAAGTCATCAATATATATTGTAAACAGTTGCGGTCCCAGCACTGATGCCTGTGGAACCCCACAGGTCATGGGTCACCAAACTGAAAAATAACCCCTTGTTCCCATTCGCTGCTACCTGCCCATGAGTCAATTCTCTATCCACAACAATATGCTTCCTCCAAAACCATAGGCTGTTATCTTGTGATTTAATCTTTTGTGAGGTCCCTTGTCGAATGCCTTCTGGAGATCCAAATACGTTCACTAGTCCCCCTCTATCCATTCTGGTTGAGACTTTCTGAAAAACCCCAATGAATTAGTCAGACATGATTTCCCTTTCATGAAGCCATGCTGACTCTGCTCATTAGATACCCTTGATAAACAGCTGTGGGTCAAAATGCACAGGTAGGAATGGGTTCCCCAAGACACAACAAATGGGGTCAGTGTTGAAGGGCAAGATAAAAACACATTGCCCCACATTAAGTTATTGGCTGCACACAAGTCCCACTTTTAATCTTTGAGACCAACATTACTGTACATTCATCATATCCTCACCTATATCTTTGGCTCTTGAAGCTAATGGCCTCCTCCACTGAGTGACAAATTTGTAAGCGTCAAGTCGGATTTCAATAATATTGTTCAATAAGGCTAGAAGAGGAGCCAGGGGAAATGCTGCCACAAATATAGTCGTGAAACCAAACTGAAGAACTGAAGGAAAACAGAAATGAATATCGACAGTCACAGAGTGGCCCAGGTATTACAGTCCATCCACTGTACTGGAAATCATTGCACAACATTCTCAGGAAACACCTGCTGGCCTCACTGGATTACGTGGAAAAAAAAAACAGTACACACAAATACAACATTACATGAGTCAACCTCAGTTGACATAAGCACATGCTCCTTGATACAAAAAGTTAGCCATTTGACTCTGACAGGACTTAAAGCCTTGGAGAGCTTGAGCGTATACACACAAAAACAAGCTGACTTGAAGTGGAGATAGTAGGAACTGCAGATGCTGGAGAATCCGAGACAACAAGGTGCAGGGCTGGATGAACACAGCAGGCCAAGCAGCATCATAGGAGCAGAGAGGCTGACGTTTCGGGCCTAGACCCTTCATCAGAAAAGGGGGAGGGGAAGGGGGTTTTGAAATAAATAGGGAGAGAGTGGGAGGCAGATAGAAGAGGGATAGAGGAGAGGATAGGTGGAGAGGAAACAAACAGGTCGAAGAGGCGGGGATGGGGCCAGGAAAGGTGAGTGTAGGTAGGGAGTTAGGAAGGGGATAGGTCAGTCCAGGGAGGACGGACAGGTCAAGGGGGCGGGATGAGGCCTTAAGGCCCTCCGCTTCTTCCTGTCCCGCAGGCCCGACCAGTCCCCCTCCACTGACACCCTCATCCGCTTAGCCGAACTCGTCCTCACACTCAACAACTTCTCTTTCAATTCCTCCCACTTCCTACAGACAAAGGGGGTAGCCATGGGTACCCGCATGGGCCCACGCTACGCCTGCCTCTTTGTAGGTTACGTGGAACAATCCCTCTTCCGTACCTACACCGGCCCTAAACCCCACCTCTTCCTCCGTTACATTGATGACTGTATCGG